AGCGCAGACCAGAGAGCCAAATCATTGGCTTGAAGGTTAAGAGCAGGGTGCTCCACTTAACATCCATTAGTCTTAAGTAGCTCCTTTTTTCCCCATTCGAAATATAGAGGTCCTTCCGGAAGGTGATGACCAGTGGTGAGTGGTTTCCTCTGATCTCCACAAGGTCCTAACAGATCCCTCCCTTACATTGGCTAGGCCAGAAATATGCCTTGGGAATTCATCTTTATAAAGACCAGTAACTCCAAGCACTAGTTGTCATGCCAGAATTCAAATCTGCTACCATTGGCCCACTCTTAACTGTAAATGAGAGACATATCAACTGTGAATAATAGATACCTTCTTGTCTTCAACTGTTGATACGATGTCACTCCAAAGTCGAGATAGAAATTGCTTGAGTTGAGATGGGGCCAACCATTTTCCTTCCCAAAAATCTGTATTTACTGCAAAGAACCTCTCCATAATTGGATTCATGTTGCCGAAGCAATCTCCAACCAACCACTTGAGAAGCAAGCAACCACATTCACATCTCTAATTCTCTTATACCTAGCCACCTTGGATGTGATACTTTTGGTTGCTTCCACGACCATTTCACCAGATGGAAATTTTCCCTCTTCAATTCTGAGCCCCCCCATAAGAAGGAGCTTGAATTTTGTCTAACTCCTTTGCCTATATCCTTCGTAGTTTGAACTAACGACATAAAAAAATAGCACTGGTAGGCCCTAGATAAACACTGCCTCACCAATGTTAACCGTTCTGCAAAGGATAGGAATCTCCTTTTTCCACTCTGGCAATCCATTTTGAATTTCTCAATAACAGGTTTCCAAAGCATCTTTCTCCTAGGACTTGCACCTGCTGCTAAACCAGGTCAGTCCCTTGTTTCTGTTTTCTATAAGCACACCAATCTCGCTTTTGGGGCTAATGCCATCTTCAGTAGATGGGTGTGGATTAGTTATCTCCCTCCCAAAGTGCAATTCTTTGGCTGGCTTGCTTGGAGATATAAGGTCAAAACATTGGTTTTCTTGCAACATCTTGGTATTTTGGGCAGAGATTCTTCTACCCTGTGCACTTTCTGGAAATCCCAGCAAGAATCAATAGATCATGTGCTGATTTTCTGCCCCATGGTATGGAGAGTTTGGTCAGAGCTTCTACAATGGTGGGGGGTAGTTTGGGTGGTCCCTGGTTCCATACAAGGGCTGTTCCAGTGGTGGGCTGGGCATAGCTGCAGAAATGAAGCTAGGAGGATTTGGAGTGCTATTCCTCTGGTGACTTTGTGGTCATTGTGGAAACATAAAAATGAATGTATCTTCCAAGGCACACAACCACAGCTTCAGGATCTTCATGAACTCATCGTCACCAGACTAGCCTTCTGGTTTAAAGCTGCATCCAAAAGGTTTCAATTTTCAATTCATGACTTCCTTTTCAACTTCCCTCAAATCAGATATTGCCTTGATGGTAGGACCTCGTAGTTTTGATCTGGGTGATGATCTGCTTGGCTTGTTCTGATCCTTGAATAACCAGTTCTGATATGTTTTGCTTTGGTCTTGGTTCAGTTCTGATCTTCACAGTCCTTGCAGAGACCTTGGCTCAGTTCTGATCTGCACAAGGTCTGTTCAGTTGGAACTGGTTTATTTTGTATTCAATTGGGCTGCATTGTGATGCAGGGTTGGAGTTGGAAGGCTTCAGTTGGTTCTGTTTTGAGCTGCTATTCTGCATTTCTGTCTTGAGCTGGGGTTGCTGATCTGATGGACTGCTCTGATTTTTTGGTTTTGTTCTGTTTTGCTGATCTGTTTTGAGCTGCTTTGCTTTGAATCTGCTTTGAGATATCCTTGGAAGGCTTCAGTTGGTTTTGAGTGGATGCAGGGTTGGGCGGCTTCAGTTGGCCTGGGTATTGTTCTGCAATTCTGATCTGGCGGGTGTCTCCTGTTCTACTATTCTGCTTCATTGTTTTGAGCTGCATTTCTGCAATTCTGCATATCTGTTTTGAGGGCTCTAGCTGGTCCTCTTGTTCTGCTTTTCTGTTTTGAGCTTTTGTTCTGCTTTTCTGTTTTTTTTTCCTGTTGGTTTCTCACCAACTAGGAGGTTGGAGCTTCGTTTAGCTCCAAGCTCCTCTTTATTGATGTATTCTCTTTTTGTTTGGTTTTCATCAATAAAGTTTCTCCTCTTGCCGTTCAAAAAAAAAGTATTCCTTAGTTTTTAGCCACAATATTATTTTGATCAAAGTTAAAACTTTATAAATAGGTACAACAACGTAAATATCTCATTTAATGTCATTGAATAAAAAAAATAAATAAAATATCGTAGATGAAATAAATGGACAAATCTGATTTCTTATTAACCCAGTCTTGTAGTCTCTCTATATATGACAATATTTAAAAAAAAAAAAAAATTATTGACTAGTGATACATATCACTAAAATGGTTGAGCATAATCTTCTAATACAAGTCGAGTAAGATACCAAAATAGTAAAGGTAAATTATCAATAAATTATAATAGTTTGATTTAATTTTTATCAAATTTTATTGAAAATAAATTATGATAAAATCGTTAAAAATAATTTTTTTGTGATATTTTTTTGCATATATTGCAAAAAATTGATAATTAGCGTTCGTATGGAATCTGGATTGGCTTTTTGACTTTTTGATTATTTTAGCCTGAGACTAAAAAGTCTCGTTTGGGATAGGCTTTTTGGCTTATGGGTTGAATGTGATGTTTTGTTTTTTAGATTAAAAGGCCTATTTTGTTTTTTTTGTGGCTAAAATAGCCTCCCAATCCAATCCAACCCCTCTTTCCAAACGAATCTTCAGTGACCTTTTTTATCATGATTTTTATAAATTGTCGTTAAAATTTATAATTAGTGAATTTTTTTTACAACGAATTTTTCAAATTATCACTGAAAATTAAAAATTAGTGATTTTTTTGTGACGATATTTTTAAAGTGTCGCCAAACCTTGTAATTAGTGGTATTTTGTGACAAATTTTTTAAATTGTCACTAAAATTTAATATTTAGTGATGTTTTTTTAATAATATTTAATAAAATAATATTATTAATTATGATAGGATTTATTAGACAATAAATCTAGGGAGACTTATTTATAAATCCTTTTTCAGACACTTATGATAGGGTAAGTCCTGTATAATTTCTTATAGAGTCTCAAGTCCTATTTTCATAAGAATATATTCCACAAGATCCTACATAAACGTAACGTGACGTGACACTTACATAAACGTAACGTAACGTCACACCTATATATACGTAACGTAACATGACACCAATGTGAACGTAACGTGACACTTATATAAACGTAACGTGACATTTACATAAACGTAACGTAACGTGTCACGTTACGTTTCGCAAACTTAATAAATTTTTATTTTTTTAAATTGAATGTGAAATGTTACTGATTGTTATCATATTTTAGTAATTCATCAAATAGTTACTCAAAATTACGATTCATTGTGTTAATCATGCGAAATTCAATAAAATAATGTCATGACAAAAAAAATGATTACGCAGACACTTGTGTATTTGGTATCCAGTATGTCTTTTTCAATTCACATGCACATAAATGATACTTTCCCTCCATCTGTTAAAAATAAAAATAAAAATGGTGGGTGTTGTTTAGGCTTTGTTTGGGAAGCAAAAATTGAGGCTTTTTTTAGTTATTTTAGTTACAAAAAATAAAATAATTTTTTTAATTTAATAAGATAAAATATCACATCAAACCTATAATGTCCAACATTACGCTGGAAATGGATAAGACCCATCGGGAATACAAACACATCACCCTTCTGAAGTAGCTTTGTGATGAAACGATTTTCTGGGTTAGAGGTGACAAACCCTACTTGTAGGCTCCCTTCAATGACAGTCAAAATTTCAGTGGCCCGAGGATGTATGTGGGGAGGGTTGATGCCCAATGGTGCGTAGTCAACGCGGGCCATGGAAATGCCAAGAGTGTTAAGCGCTGGAAATTGTTCAACATTTACTAAATTCACCTTCGATCCAACTGCATTCGATGTATTGCCTGCTAAGTGTAGGCCTCTAAACAAGAAGTCATTCGCTTCTACAAGCTTTGGATCCTTGCACACCAAACCATTCACTAGCACTACAACCACAAAAAATAAAAGATTTAAGGCCCATAAAACCCAATAAGTAGATTATTATAGGATGTGTATACAAATAAATTGGTTTAGTTTTATATATATATATATAGATAAAATGTTCTTTTTCATGTTTTTCATTTTTATGCAAAAACTATTTTCAAAATTTAAAAATAAACTTTGGTGTTTCCTAAATAGTGAACTATTTTCAAAAATAAATAAATAATTCAAAAGCTGTTCGTCAAACAATTTTCTACATTTTTCAAGAAAATAAAAATAAAAAATAAAAAAAAATAGAACCAAATAAACAAGAAAGTATATATGAAGAACATAAAACCTGAGCTACTGTTGTCTGCAACACAGAAGTCTTGAAGAGGATTATTGTCAGATGCAAAAGCAACCGAACAAGTTATAGCCAATAATCCTAATAACAAAGCAAATTGTGATGCCATTTTGGAAACTAAAAATCTTCTTCTTGTTGAGAATGAAGCAATCTTCTTTTGAGAGTTGAAAGATTTGATGAGATGGGAAATAAGTAACCACTTAGAACTGCTTTTATAGATGTTTTCGGAAGATGGAAAGAGAGACTTTAAAGCTAGCCTAATAGAATGAGTCTATATTCTTCATTTTTTATTATTCATTCTTTATAATAAACAGCCAACAGCATGCTGAAATGGTAAATGCAGCCATTTCTTGACGAAATTGTCAATATTTCGGCGGATGAAAGGGAAATGTTATGGTGTGCACCACCGTACTACAAATTATGTAATTTTACTATAAAATTTTGTATCATCAATTATAAAATGCGTAATTTTTTCACAAATTAGTGTAACAAAAAAAATGTCGTAATTAAGTCACAAACTATTGCAACATCAATCACAAAATTTTAGATATTTTGTTATGCTAATTTGTGATAAGATTATACATTTTATAATTAATATTACAAAATTTTGTAATGAAATTACACATTTTTCTAATATGGTGCATATGGTATATAGCATTTCCCCTATGAAATTGCTTGGTTTCGACATCCTCTCTAAACCCTTTAAAAGCTAGCTGTCTTTCTCAGTCCAATAATACTACCTCTGCAAAATATTATGTGGGTGTTTGGAAAGTTACCATTTTAGTAGATTATTTTAATAGGTTAAAATTTTTGTGTTTAGAAAGATAGTTTGATTTTTTTGTAGTTAGATGTGACGTTTGTAAGAGAAAAAGTGAAATAATTATGGCTTTGATATGATATTTTGGCTTATTGGCTATTTTAACCTATTTTGTATTTCTGTAGATTTTAATCCAAAAAGCCAAAAAAAAAGCTCTTGCCAAACACCCCCTAACAAATCATAGATTTTGGATTTCTGATTTCATAGTACAACATATATTAAGAGGGCTCTTTGCAGTAAATACAGATTTTTGGGAGGAAAATGGTTGCCCCATCTCAACTCAAGCCATACTCTATCTCGACTTTGGAGTGACATTGTATCAACAGTTGAGCAGAAGGTATCTTTATTCACATTTTATGTCTCTCACTTACAATTAAGAGTGGGCAATGGTTGCAGATTGAAATTCTGGCATGACAACTGGTGTGGAGTTACTTCTTTTAAAGATGAATTCCCAAGGCTATTTCGGTTAGCCAACAATAAGGAGGGATCTGTTAGGGACCTTGCGGTGATCAGAGGAAACACTTACCATTGGTCAGTCACCTTCCGGAGACCTCTATTTGAATGGGAAAAAGAGGAGCTATTAAGACTAAATGGAATGTTAAGTGGAGCACCTGCTCTTAACCTTCAAGCCAATGATTTGGCTCTCTGGTCTGCTGCTAAACCAGGTCAGTCCCTTGTTTCTGTTTTCTATAAGCATACCAATCTCGCTTTTGGGGCTAATGCCATCTTCAGTAGATGGGTGTGGATTAGTCATCTCCCTCCCAAAGTGCAATTCTTTGGCTGGCTTGCTTGGAGATATAAGGTTAAAACATTGGTTTTCTTGCAACAACTTGGTATCTTGGACAGAGATTCTTCTACCCTGTGTACTTTCTGCAAATCCCAACAAGAATCAATAGATCATGTGCTGATTTTCTGCCCCATGGTATGGAGAGTTTGGTCAGAGCTTCTACAATGGTGGAGGGTAGTTTGGGTGGTCCCTGGGTCTATACAAGGGCTGTTCCAGTGGTGGGCTGGACATAGCTGCAGTAATGAAGCAAGGAGGATTTGGAGGGCTATTCCTCTGGTGACTCTGTGGTCATTGTGGAAACACAGAAATGAATGTATCTTCCAAGGCACACAACCTCAGCTTCATGATCTTCATGAACTCATCGTCACCAGACTAGCCTTCTGGTATAAAGATGCATCCCAAAGGTTTCAATTTTCAATTCATGACTTCCTCTTCAACTTCCCTCAAATCAGATATTGTCTTGATGGTAGGTCCTCACAGTATTGAACTGGGTGATGATCTTGCTTTGGTCTTGATTCAGTTCTGATCTTCACAGACTTGTCTCAGTTCTGTTTTGCTGAGACCTTGGCTCAGTTCTGATCTGCACAAGGTCTGTTCAGTTGGTACTGGTTTATTCTGAATTCAATTGGGCTGCACTGTGCTGCACTGGTTTATTCTGAATTCAAAAGAGGGTACTCAAATCAGTGTCTAAGCTATCTGTTGGTTCAGTTGGTTCTGTTTTGAGCTGCAATTCTGCAATTCTGTCTTGTGCTGATTCAACACTGCTGGGGTTGCTGATCTGATGAGTGGTCTCAAAATCAGCGTCTCATGGACTGCACTGATTTTGGTTTTGATTTGTTTTTGCTGATCTGTTGGTTCTGACTGATCTGTTTGTTTTGAGGTATCCTTGGAAGGCTTCAGTTGGTCCTGAGTGGATGCAGGGTTGGGCTTTGGAAATGAGATGGGTGAGGCTTGCATTCATAGTATTGAACTGGGTGATGATCTTGCTTTGGTCTTGATTCAGTTCTGATCTTCACAGACTTGTCTCAGTTCTGTTTTGCTGAGACCTTGGCTCAGTTCTGATCTGCACAAGGTCTGTTCAGTTGGTACTGGTTTATTCTGAATTCAATTGGGCTGCACTGTGCTGCACTGGTTTATTCTGAATTCAAAAGAGGGTACTCAAATCAGTGTCTAAGCTATCTGTTGGTTCAGTTGGTTCTGTTTTGAGCTGCAATTTTACAATTCTGTCTTGTGCTGATTCAACACTGCTGGGGTTGCTGATCTGATGAGTGGTCTCAAAATCAGCGTCTCATGGACTGCACTGATTTTGGTTTTGATTTCTTTTTGCTGATCTGTTGGTTCTGACTGATCTGTTTGTTTTGAGGTATCCTTGGAAGGCTTCAGTTGGTTCTGAGTGGATGCAGGGTTGGGCTCTGGAAATGAGATGGGTGAGGCTTGCAATCAGCTGGGCTGCTTCTGCATTATATCAGATCTCAACAGAGGTGTGGTTTGCAGCATTGGTGTTTTAGTGTCTAAGCTATCTGCTTTTTCTGGTTTTTTCTCTGTTTTATTTGCTCGTTGGTTCCTCACCAACTAGGAGGTTGGAGCTTGTTTTTAGCTCAAAGCTCCTCTTTATTGATGTAAATTTTCCTCTTCCATCAATAAAGTTTTTTTTGCCGTTCAAAAAAAAAGGAATAAGCATGTTGTTTGGTTTGACAAGGTAGCTTCAATTGTAAAGTGACTTGTTCATGTCTTGTGAGGTAACTTGTTCATGTCGATGGAATACCGCATGAAAAGTTCCTCAGATAATATATATATATATATATATTATATATATATATGATGAAAAAGATTATGATATACACTTCTCAAATAGTATTTATTATATGCATCTTATAATTAACAAGAAAAAATAGCATAACTTTATATTTTTTGAATCATAACTAAAAAAAAAATCATAAGCAAACACCACATAAGACATGACTAATGATTTTATGAGTGATAACTAAAACATTGTCATAACTAAATAGGCAACTTGCCCGTGAATTGTTTGATCTTGTTTGTATGATTTTTTATTTTGTCAAAAATTCAACCATTCTAGAGTTAAAAGCGAAATTATTTGACATATAGAAAAGCAAATTTAAAAAAAGAAAATGTTACATTGAACAATTAATTGGTCATTTGATTTAGTTTGGTAACATAAAAAAGTATAATGAACCAAGTTTGAACAAATTATAAAATTCGTAAAAAAAATTTAAACCAAACTTGAATAGGTTAAATACTGGTAAAAGTTACAATTAAAAAAATATATATATTGGATACATATTTAAGAGTTTTATTATGAGTTTGGATTTTCTAAAGTAATTTTGAATTTTTTTTTTTTTTAAATGTAATAATTGTATTACTAAAAAAAATTAAATTCTCCAAAATAGACTATTATTTTGGGACGGAATCAAATTTAAAAGAAAAAGCGACCACCGGACTGCCGCAACCACCATGGCGGTTGTTCAACTGCTACCTTGTTTATCCTCTACTACGACTTCTAGATTTTCATCACGGTGGTTTTCAGCGATGCGTCCTACGATCAAAGCCACCATACCCTACGGCGGAGAGAAATTGCCTCAGTCCACTGGAGACGTGCCAGAGAACAACGGAGACGAGCTATTGGCATCGCCTCTCAACTTCGCAGTGGTCGTGTAACGCTCCGAAATAATAATAATAGCCCATCTCATAATATTCCTTACAATTGATCAATAACATCATATCTTATATTCCATTTATAAACTTGATGATACAAAAGAAGAAATATGCGTGTATATATTCATAAATCTTAAATCCTGAATCTATAGCATATGAAATGGATACATGAATTAAAATTTAAGTAAAATCAAGTAATTATATGTCCTAATGGCTACATCTTTCCAAGCCAATGCTTGGACACAGCAAAATGAGTTCAACTCAATACAATTAAAGTCCAAAACTTATACAAAAATAATTACATCAAATAAAACAAAAGAAAATCTTAGCTCCAAGTCCTCTCATCTATGTCCCTAGTGAAAGCATATCATCAGCACCTAAAAGTTGTTTTCCACATAGGGTGAGCCAAAACCCAATGGAGATACTTTAACGCAATATATGAATCTTAACAAAGCCATAAGGTGAATGCGCATGCATACCATTTGTCAAACATTTCACATTTCTATCTCAACACAATGCAATGCCAGATTATATATCAATTCATGAAAAT